CTCCCCCACCAGGACCGTCGCTCCCACCGCTCCCACCGCCTCCTCCGCTACCACCGCCGCCGCCACCTCCGCTTCCACCGCCGCCACCAGTACCTCCACTCCCGCCACCACCCCCACCGCCACCCCCACTCCCCCCGCCACCCCCACCGCCTCCTCCACCGCCCCCTCTAGCTCCACCCGCTCCCTTGCCCCCCTTGCCCTTGCCAGAGCGGCGTCTGCCGCTGGGGGCAGACGCCGCGCCGACCGACTCAAAACCAGTGAGGTCGGCCGCAGCGGCAGAGGCGACAGAGGGCAGCAGGGGGGAAGGACCACACCCCTCAAAGATGGGGGTGCGAGGGTCACCCCGAGAGGCCCCTACAGCGACAATACTCTTCTCAGCCGCTAGCAGGGACTCCTCAAGGAGGTCGATAGTGAGAGTGGTGGGACAGACAGAGAGAAACTGGTCCCTAACGACACGAAGGGACTCAGGGAGACGGGTGACGAGAAAGTAGAGAGTGATGTACATGGGAGGAGGGTTCGCAGCGCGGAACTCAGCAGGAAGGGCAGCGCGGTAGCGGGTGTCACTAGCACGGAGGTGGGTAACGAGGTCAGCAACAGTGGGAAAGGAGGCGAGGTCAGGGAAGAGAAACGGTAGCATGAGGCGGCTAAGGGTAGCGGAGGAAGGGGAGGAGTAGCGTGCAACTACAGCATCGTACAAGGCCTGAGCGGTCTTGCACTGACTAAAGTGGGCACGCTCAGAGGAAGGGAGGTGGCGACGCACAGCAAGACGTGCAGCAGCATCGCGGGTCGCCCACTTGGAGCGAACGGCAGAGTCAGCATCAGCAGGTGGGGCAGGGACAGCGCCAGAGACAAAGTCAAAGAGAGAGACCTCATCTATCGCATCACACAGTAAGTACAGCTGCAGGTCTTCAATCCAGACGGCAAAGTCAATGGCCCTCCCCTCAGCGTCAAAAGTAAGAACATTGGGGGTGGCCATGGCAGCAGCTGAAAGTCTCACCGGGCTGGGAGAGTCGGGTAGGTCAGCAGCAGAGGAACACAGCTAAGTAACAGCGGCACGGCTCGGGCGGCTCGGGTTGCTGGGGCGGCGCGGGCAGCTCGGGCGGCTCGGGCGGCTCGGGCGGCTCGGGCGGCTCGGGCGGCTGGAGCGGCTCGGGCGGCTCGCGCGGCTCGGGCGGCTCGGGCGGCTCGGGCGGCTCGGGTTGCTGGGGCGGCGCGGGCGGCTCGGGCGGCTCGGGCTGCTGGGCTGTACGGGCGGCTCGTGCGGCGCTGGTGTCGCGACGGGCGGCTCGCTGGCGGCTCGCGGGCGGCTGCACAGGCGGCTCAGGGACGGCGGCGTGGGCGGCTCAGGGAGCTCACGGGCGGGCCGCGACGGGCGGGTCGCGGGCGTCGGGCGCTAGGGCGTTGGGGCGACGACGGGCGGCGCTCAGGCGTTCGGGCGGGCGGCCGTAAGGGCGAAAGGGTGGTCGGCGCTCGGGCGCTAGGGCGGGCGGCCGGCCGTCAGGGCGCTAGGGCGGGCGGCCGTCAGGGCGCTAGGGCGTGTGGCGCGCGGGCGCTAGGGCTGGCGGCCGTCAGGGCGCTAGGGCGAGCAGCGCTCGGGCGCTAGGGCGGGCGGCCGTCAGGGCTCTAGGGCGGGCGGCGCTCGGGCGCTAGGGCGGGCGGCGCTCGGGCGCTAGGGCGGGCGGCGCTCGGGCGCTAGGGCGGGCGGCGCTCGGGCGCTGGGGCGGGCGGCCGTCAGGGCGCTAGGGCGGGCGGCCGTCAGGGCGCTAGGGCGGTTGGCGCTCGGGCGCTAGGGCGGGCGGCCGTCAGGGCGCTAGGGCGGGCGGCCGTCAGGGCGCTAGGGCGGGCGGCCGTAAGAGGAGAGAGCGGCGGGAGCGCGACGGTAGGGGCGACACGCAGGGTCGCTAAAAAAGAACGCGCGCCTCGGGGCGCGCTTCGGTGGGCCCTAGGAACAGTCCCTAGGAGGGGACCTGCTCTGATTCCATGAGAAGAATTGAATGAGGATGGAATGAGTATGAACGAAGTGAGTACAAATAGAAAACCCTAATTGGGTTGTACCCCCTATGGGATACCCCACTATAGCCTACACAACTAAGTAAGCTATAAGTTCTGACATTTGAAAGGTAACTAACGCACATGTGTAGAGAAAATGGTGCATCGGCCAGTCTGGCCGGCATTTCGCACTCATAGTGCAGGTGGGGCCAGGGAGAACGGAAACACTCGTTTCTCAAAAAGTAGAGGGAATCTAACGGTCTCACTCGATCAGAAGGTGGGAAATATATAAATCTAGTCAGCTAAAAAGGTTTGAAATGTATTCAACGCACATGTATAGAGAAAATGGTGCATTGGCCAGGTCGGTCAGTATCGGAACTTAAAATTCAAATGCCAGGGAGAACGGAAGCCCTCAGATCTCGCATAGTACACGGAATCAAGTGGTCTCACTCAAATAGAAAGTAGGAAATATATTCATCTAGTGAACGTAAGGGTTTGAAAGGTAACTAACGCACATGTGTAGAGAAAATGGTGCATCGGCCAGTCTGGCCGGCATTTCGCACTTATAGTGCAAGTAGGGCCAAGGAGAACGGAAACGCTCATTTCTCAAAAACTAAAGGGAATCTAGCGGTCTCACTCGATCAGAAGGTGGGAAATATATAAATCTAGTGAGCTAATAAGGTTCGAAAGGAATCTAATGCATATGTATATGGAAAATGGTGCATTGGCCAGGTCGGTCAGTATGGGAACTTAGAGTGCAAATGCCAGGGAGAACGGAAGCGCTCAGATCTCGCATAGTACACGGAATCTAGTGGTCTCACTCAAATAGAAGGTAGGAAATAAATTCATCTAGTGAACATAAGGGTTTTGAAAGGTAACTAACGCACATGTGTAGAGAAAATGGTGCATCGGCCAGTCTGGCCGGCATTTCGCACTTATAGTGCAAGTAGGGCCAAGGAGAACGGAAACGCTCATTTCTCAAAAAGTAAAGGGAATCTAGCGGTCTCACTCGATCAGAAGGTGGGAAATATATAAATCTAGTGAGCTAATAAGGTTCGAAAGGAATCTAATGCATATGTATATGGAAAATGGTACATTGGCCAGGTCGGTCAGTATGGGAACTTAGAGTGCAAATGCCAGGGAGAACGGAAGCGCTCAGATCTCGCATAGTACACGGAATTTAGTGGTCTCACTCAAATAGAAGGTAGGAAATAAATTCATCTAGTGAACGTAAGGGTTTGAAAGGTAACTAACGTACATGTGTAGAGAAAATGGTGCATCGGCCAGTCTGGCCGGCATTTCGCACTCATAGTGCAGGTGGGGCCAGGGAGAACGGAAACGCTCGTTTCTCAAAACTTAGAGGGAATCTAACGGTCTCACTCGATCAGAAGGTGGGAAATATATAATTCTAGTCAGCTAAAAAGGTTTGAAATGTATTCAACGCACATGTATAGAGAAAATGGTGCATTGGCCAGGTCGGTCAGTATCGGAACTTAAAATGCAAATGCAAGGGAGAACGGTAGCGCTCAGATCTCGCATAGTACACGGAATCAAGTGGTCTCACTCAAATAGAAAGTAGGAAATATATTCATCTAGTGAACGTAGGGGTTTGAAAGGTAACTAACGCACATGTGTAGAGAAAATTGTGCATCGGCCAGTCTGGCCGGCATTTCGCACTTATAGAGCAACTAGTGCCAAGGAGAATGGAAACGCTCATTTCTCAAAAAGTAGAGGGAATCTAGCGGTCTCACTCGATCAGAAGGTGGGAAATATATAAATCTAGTGAGCTAATAAGGTTCGAAAGGAATCTAATGCATATGTATATGGAAAATGGTGCATTGGCCAGGTCGGTCAGTATGGGAACTTTGAGTGCAAATGCCAGGGAGAACGGAAGTGCTCAGATCTCGCATAGTACACGGAATCTAGTGGACTCACTCAAATAGAAGGTAGGAAATAAATTCATCTAGTGAACGTAAGGGTTTGAAAGGTAACTAACGCACATGTTTAGAGAAAATGGTGCATCGGCCAGTCTGGCCGGCATTTCGCACTTATAGTGCAAGTAGGGCCAAGGAGAACGGAAACGCTCATTTCTCGAAAAGTAAAGGGAATCTAGCGGTCTCACTCGATCAGAAGGTGGGAAATATATAAATCTAGTGAGCTAATAAGGTTCAAATGGAATCTAATGCATATGTATATGGAAAATGGTGCATTGGCCAGGTCGAGCAGTATGGGAGCTTAGAGTGCAAATGCCAGGGAGAACGGAAGCGCTCAGATCTCGCACAGTACACGGAATCTAGTGGTCTCACTCAAATAGAAGTTAGGAAATAAATTCATCTAGTGAACGTAAGGGTTTGAAAGGTAACTAACGCACATGTGTAGAGAAAATGGTGCATCGGCCAGTCTGGCCAGCATTTCGCACTCATAGTGCAGGTGGGGCCAGGAAGAACGGAAACGCTCATTTCTCGAAAAGTAGAGGGAATCTAACGGTCTCACTCTATCAGAAGGTGGGAAATATATAAATCTAGTCAGCTAAAAAGGTTTGAAATGTATTCAACGCACATGTATAGAGAAAATGGTGCATTGGCCAGGTCGGTCAGTATCGGAACTTAAAATGCAAATGCCAGGGAGAACGGAAGCGCTCAGATCTCGCATAGTACACGGAATCAAGTGGTCTCACTCAAATAGAAAGTAGGAAATATATTCATCTAGTGAACGTAAGGGTTTGAAAGGTAACTAACGCACATGTGTAGAGAAAATGGTGCATCGGCCAGTCTAGCCGGCATTTCGCACTCATAATGCAGGTGGGGCCAGGGAGAACGGAAACGCTCGTTTCTCAAAAAGTAGAGGGAATCTAACGGTCTCACTCGATCAGAAGGTGGGAAATATATAAATCTAGTCAGCTAAAAAGGTTTGAAATGTATTCAACGCAAATGTATAGAGAAAATGGTGCATTGGCCAGGTCGGTCAGTATCGGAACTTAAAATGCAAATGCCAGGGAGAACAGAAGCGCTCAGATCTCGCATAGTACACGGAATCAAGTGGTCTCACTCAAATAGAAAGTAGGGAAGGGTTTGAAAGGTAACTAACGCACATGTGTAGAGAAAATTGTGCATCGGCCAGTCTGGCCGGCATTTCGCACTTATAGTGCAACTAGGGCCAAGGAGAACGGAAACGCTCATTACTAAAAAAGTAGAGGGAATCTAGCAGTCTCACTCGATCAGAAGTTGGGAAATATATAAAACTAGTGAGCTAATAAGGTTCGAAAGGAATCTAATGCATATGTATATGGAAAATGGTGCATTGGCCATTTCGGCCAGTATGGGAACTTAGAGTGCAAATGCCAGGGAGAACGGAAGCGCTCAGATCTCGCATAGTACACGGAATCTAGTTGTCTCACTCAAATAGAAGGTAGGAAATATATTCATTTAGTGAACGTAAGGGTTTGAAAGGTAACTAACGCACATGTGTAGAGAAAATGGTGCATCGGCCAGTCTGGCCGGCATTTCGCACTTATAGTGCAAGTAGGGCCAAGGAGAACGGAAACGCTCATTTCTCAAAAAGTAAAGGGAATCTAGCGGTCTCACTCGATCAGAAGGTGGGAAATATATAAATCTAGTGAGCTAATAAGCTTCGAAAGGAATCTAATGCATATGTATATGGAAAATGGTGCATTGGCCAGGTCGGTCAGTATGGGAACTTAGAGTGCAAATGCCAGGGAGAACAGAAGCGCTCAGATCTCGCATAATACATGGAATCTAGTGGTCTCACTCAAATATAAGGTAGGAAATATATTCATCTAGTGAACATAAGGGTTTGAAAAGGTAACTAACGCACATGTGTAGAGAAAATGGTGCATCGGCCAGTCTGGCCGGCATTTCGCACTCATAGTGCAGGTGGGGCCAGGGAGAACGGAAACGCTCTTTTCTCAAAAAGTAGAGGGAATCTTACGGTCTCACTCGATCAGAAGGTGGGAAATATATAAATCTA